ACGAATGGTAACCCTAATATAAATACTATCCAGTATCTGTACTGAGTCAAATTCTATCCCTACCTTCTAAGCTTTTCAAGGCAGGGACCCTGACTTCAGTTTTCAAAAATGATTAGTGATTTTGGGAACCTCAGTTTTTGGGTGGCTATCTTTAAATGGGCTTGATTTTTCTGAGGTCACTTTGAGAAAATCAGGCCTCTATAAGGTATTTCAAATTGAAGATCCAAAAATTCAGGTATCTGAAATCTCTATTCACTTTCAAAGATGTAGGCCATTGTCTCTTAGTATGTGTCTGTGCAGTTCCTGGCACAATCAGATCCTGATTGGAGTGTTTGAATGCTGCTACAAAGAAATAATAGATGCACATGTCTTTTATCAGGCTGACCTCAATATATTTCTGAGGGCAGAATTTCTACACTTCATATTGTAACCATGTTGTAACATAGCGAACTTGTTGTAAGAAGCTTAACCTATGTAGTTCTGTATGTGATTAAGTACATTGCTCCTCTTGAAACTAATGGAAGTCAAATACATTTGCATCTGGGGGTAAAATCTGGTTTCTGATATTGGCACTGTATATAGGACTGGCCAAAACAATTAGAACAAAATATTTTCCTGTTGGAAAATGGTACATCGTAAAAATCAAAACTTTCTGCAGGAAGAGATCAATTTTGACAGAAGTTTTGATCAGGAGAATCTAAACGAAATGTTTAATTTGGGGTCAGGTCGACGTTAATCTGTGTGTCTGCCAGAGCAGCTGCAGTGCCTCATTGAAGTTGTATTTCCAAGTCCTTCATGTCCCCATTTTCCCAGCTCTCTGACCAGACTATGTCTCCCATGATGCACTGGAGTCTCCCTGTGGCTGAGCTACTGCAGTGCGTTTTGAAAACAAATGTTGATTTGGGATGAAAACAATTGTTGAAATATCAGAATTTCCCATGGGAGGGGAAGGAAATTCCATTTTTTGATCTGCTGTAGTACTGCACTACACATAGCAGGCATAAAAATGCACGAGGTTACTGTGTTGTAGTTTACATGTGGACAGCTGTGAAAATGGGACTTGGGAGATTTTATTAAAAGTGATGGAATTTCATTATAATTGCAGTGACTATTTATTTATTCTCTGTTTTTTGTGTTATAGGAATTCCTCCTCATATTGATACTCATTCTGCTTTTGAGGATGAAATAATCTCTCTCAGTTTAGGCGCTGAGGTATGCTTAATATTTCTTTTTATATTTTGATGATACTCAATGGACATAAAAGTAAAGATCTGAGTAGATCTTAATAAAAGGTTCAATGTTTTACATGACATTTTTTCTCACTCTTTTGCATCAGATGTCTAGCATGTTAACCTGTAACAATGGTGCGATACCTAAAGGGGTGAAATTCTGGCCCCATTGAAGTCATTGCCATTGACTTCAGTGGGGCTAGGACTTCACCATAGAATAAAATCTTCCATGAAACTGACTGTTTGAAACTACTAGGACTCAATTCTCCATTGCCCTTCCTCAGTTTTATTAGCACCTTCAAAACTCTCATATCATTGCTCCTGTGTATTTCTCTACCTCAATTCTTCCTGTACCATTCCCTCTTCTCTCTGGTCTGTCCAAGCCTCTCTCCTATTATTACTGTGTTTGTTACAGTAGCTCGTAGAGGCCCTATTGGGGTAGACACTGTACAGACACATAGCTAGAGACAGTCCCTGCTCTAAAGAGCTTACATCCGAAACAGACAAGACAGACAAAGGGTGGGAAGAGAAACGGAGGCACAGAGCGGTGAAGGGACTTGCCAGGGTCACACAGCAGGTCATTGGCAAGGCTGGGAATAGAATCCATGTTTTCCTGCTCCTAGTTCAGTTCCCTCTCCACACCCTTTTTTCTGTTCTGCTTTGTAATTCGGTTCTTGTACTGCACTTATCACCGTGGTATGAGAGCATCCGTACCCACTCTCTACTTTGTGCCTTCTGTGCTTCGAACAGCGTCACAACAAACATTGGCTAAGTGCCAACCCCATCTTCCTTCCTATCATTCCTAAATACCTACGTGTTCTGCAGTACTTACATGCATGAACACCCGCACACAACTCCATTGTGCACTACTCCCATTGCTGTATTGTATTCTTTGGGGGAGGGACACTGCATGTATTCTAGCCATTGTTAGTTGCCACATACATCTGCAGTGCTATGTAAATAGCAGCAACAATCCCAATGAGAGCACTAAATTTATATAGCAGTGGACAATAAAGGTCTAATTATCAGTGGGGCCTTGTTCCTGTACAGGCACATTTTATGAACTAATGACTACACACGTGGGTGATGTATGCTGTCACTTGCTCGTTCAGGTACTAGTACACAAAGAATGCAAGTGTGTGCACCTGCAAAGATGCACCTGCCCAAGTGGAGATTGAATTCAGGTAATCAGGCCCTGGAGGTATGAAACTGTAACCTGATTGTTAGCCTGTGATTGTGTTGGTGTGGATAGACAGAGGGAGAGAGGCATAGTCATGCAATCTGAGCACAGAACTGGGAGCCAGGAATTCCTGGGAGTTCTAATCGAAGCTCTGACACTGACTTCCTCTTTGGCTTTGGGCAGGTCGCTTAGGCCAATGTTTTCCAAAGTGTCCGCTAACAGTGGATGTCTCACATGTCTCTAGGACCAGCTGTGAGTATAACATGAGTAGGATCAGTGCATGCTCCCCCATTTTGCCCAGCCCTGTTTTGGAGATCCCCCCCTTTCCTCTAGCCATGGTTTATCTTCATGCCTATTCAGTTTTTGGCCTTGCTTTTGAGGCAGTAGTTTCTATTTTATTCTAATCTAAAATGTTTTTAGGAATGTGGGCATCTGTCCATTAGAAAATGGGCTGAGGCCTTCAGTATATTTTATGTTAAGTCCCTGCAATGGAAATGGCTAGAGGAGAGAGGCTCTGTATCCTCTTATCAGTCCCGTGACCAATCCAGTCCTACCCAATTTATTTTTTTTTAATAGACGCTGAACATTTAGATGTAGGCATTGGGAACAGCCTGTCAGAAAGTTCTGTTCCTGTACAGCCCAAAATTGTAATGCCTTTTGATGATAGACCATTGACACACTTCTCTTATGAAGGTAGCCAAAGTGTATATTTAAGGGCTAGTAAAACAATCACAATGGCCCATAAATTACAGCATTATTTGACAGCCTTCCCTTCTGCTACCTAACTCTTTAAACTTCAGTAATACACATTGTTTGCATATTGAGACCCTCATCTGCATTTAATATATTAATCATGGCTGCAGTAGTATGCACTTAGCTATTTTAGCATTTCTTTGTCTGAGCCCAACAGTGTTCCCCTGCTATTTCCTACGTACAAAAATTATGCCCATCTCTGATGGCGCATTACATTAAAGCATGCTTTTTGTACTCATCTTTTGTTCTCCTTATCCTTTCACGTTTATCTAGCACATTCACTGGGATATGCAGTGCAGTTTTAGTTGTATTAGTCCCAGGATATTAGAGAGACAAGGTGGGTGAGTTAATATCTTTTATTGGACCCATATCTGTTGGTGAGAGAGACAAGCTTTCAAGCCCCACACAGCTCTTCTTCAAGTCTGGGAAAGGTACTCCCAGCGTCCCAGCAAAATGCAAGGTGGAGCAGATTCTCAGACCTGAAGAAGAGCTCTGTATGGCTTGAAAAGTTGTCTTTCTCACCAACAGACATTGGTCCAATAAAAGCTATTACCTCACTCACCTTGTCTCTCTAACATTTACTGGCATGTCCATTTACATCTTTTAATACATTTGCTCCACCTGAATATTGTCTGATTGAACAGGATTTATTCCTGATTTCAGCCTGAGTGTCATTCCCTGTTCTTCTTGGTTCTGACTTGTTATTCCAGTTTGCTTTGCATCCATAATGAAAAAAAATATATAATCATTGTACTGTTAATCTTTCCTTTATTCTTCTCCAAAGGAGAAACATCATACTTTTAAAAAGAATTGCCCTAAAGCTTAGGCACTACCGTAATAAACATGTTAAATACAAAGAAACAGACTAGCAGTCTCTGGTCCACTGTTCTGTCTCTGAGCTGGGCCACTACTACATGCTGTAAAAGAAGGAAAAACATCATACTGCATGTGCATAATTTATGTTTGTACTAAGCCATGGGGCGATATTTCATTCTGACCTCTACCTGATGAACAATTTATACACACATGAGGATTGAGCACCCTTCTAACTTTTATCTTAGCTAGCGCAACTGCAGAATGTTATTTCCATTCATATAAATGGCTAATCTTGTTTTTTGAAATTTGTCCATCGTAGGTTCTTATTGTGTCCCCTCCCCCCCATCACCATAGTATCTGAGCACTTCACAATCTTGAATGCATTTATCCGCACAACACCCCTTTGAAGTAGGGAAATGCTATTATCTCCATTTTACAGATGGGGAACTGGCGCATGGAGACGCTATGTGATTTGCCTGAATCACACAGGAAATCTGTGGTGGAGCAAGGTTTCCCAAGTTCTTGTCTAGTGCCTTAACCAGTGGACCATCCTTCCTCTCAAATCTACAAAGTTATTTACCTCAATAATATCTTGCAACTTAACACACACTGTTCAGTATCTTTCCTTTTCTTACTGATGAATGAGTCCGTCCGGTAGGAAAGTTCTTCAGACCATTCCTTTCTCAGATCAACCTGTGCAAGTCTAATTTGTTTTTGTGATAAACTTAGTAATGATTTCTGCCTCCCATTCTTTGTTTAGAAAGCACTGAAAACAGTTACCCATGCCAGAGGCAGAGTTGTGTTTGAGAGGACAGCATTTAGCAGCTCATAGATCATGCACCTAAATGTTTAAAAAGTAATCCCAAAAAAAGGAAATAGGGAGCCTGATTTTTCCTCTCTGTTGCGCTAGTTTTACATGGCGGCAACTCCACTGGAATCCAGGGTGTGATGCTGTTGTAAGACAGGTAGAATGGAGTAGGGAATCGAGCCCAAGGTGTTTTTCTCCCCTCCCTGTTATTGTGATTACACATGTCTGTATCATGCGGGGAGGAGCAGTACAGAAAATAGTACCTACCACTATTTAAGACAGCACATATCCTCTAGAGAGGTTACAGGGCAGGCTAAACCTGGCCTTGAAGTGGAGAGGCGGGAGCTCAAAGAAGGGAGAGGAGATAGGTTTACAGAACAGCAAAGGGGAGCTGGAGGGATTGAAAGAGAGAAAGACCAGGACGAATCCTGAGATGTGCATAGCACCTTCTGTCTCCCACTGAGCTTCCATGGGAGCTGAGACCATTTGCACCTCGCAGGAAGTGCTCAGCACCTTGCAGCATCGGACTCAACGGGAGCGACCCACATCTCTTGGGCAACTACAGGGTTGAGTGAGGCCACCAAAACGTCCTGTTGGGCTTCCATAGGGCATACCAATCACTATATTCTCCTTGCCTTTAGGAGCTACTACAATATCAATAATAATAATAGGAAGAAGAAGACTGAGCACTGAGTTCAATTTTCCTTTCTTTGCTGAGAAAATGTCACAATAGAAAAAAAAGAGAAGCAGAGGGGATAAAACCAATCCTGAGGATTTAACTGTTCATCCTCCTCTTCCTGAAAGTGTCCATTGTTTGAACAAAATGCAGTGAAACAGGACACAGCAGCTCTTTTACAAATAACTTCCACTGTTTGGGGGAGGCTGTTATTTTCTCTGCCTCCATATGGGGTCTCTAGAGATGCATAAGTTACAGCCTCTTATCGGAAGAGCGTGGCTTCTATTTGAGGCTAACTTTGCAATGATCTCAGAAGTCATGGTTTAAGCTTGTGAAAGGAGTTAGGGTTTCCTTTTGCAGACCTGCAGTGACTGTGAAAGGAGCTTAATAATAAGATTTTCCCTCCTTGAGCTTCCTGATACTGGTTTAATTTGACATTTAACACAGTATCACGAATGAGTCCCAGTTAGCTTCTGATCCATTGTTAAAAAGGTAGAAACATAGGAATTGCGATATCAGAACAGCCCAATGGTCCGTCTCATTTGATGTCTTGTCTTTGACATTGGTGTATTCTGGATGCTTTAGAAGAAGGCATGATAGTCCCATAAAGTACTTAAATGTACTATTGTATAGAACACAGACTATAACTTGGTATTGCGGGACAGCCTTGTTTCCTGACCTTGGATCTCCTACCCTCAATGGTGCAGTGCAGTCCCATTCCCCATCATCCCAAACAGTAAAGTGGAACAG